TCTCTCTCTCTCTCTCTCTCTCTCTCTCTCTCTCTCTCTCTCTCTCTCACTGTATGTTTGTGATGGCCCATGCGGATTTCGAATGTTTATCATATGTGCCGTAATCAGTAGCGGAACGTCATAAAAAATTGGTGCGTGGGGCGATTTATTTTGTGCGAATGTTGAAAATGTGGTGGTTACGAATTCGTTGTTTTTTTCCTCTTTATCGGAGAGTAAATTTTCCGTGTGCATAACCGTAACGGTTGACAATACAACCAACCGAAAAACTTTTTGGCAAGGATTTTATGTGGAAATTGCATGTTTGTTGATTGAATCAGAAACATGGCATAAATTTGGCTTTGGTTAATTCGGTTAAAGTTAAACAACGAACGACCCAATGACTGATTCAACTGCAAATGGCGTCGAATGTCATTGGATGGGGGAGATGTGAGTCACAAACGTGGTCAACAACTGCATCATCAACACAGGCACCACCAAACAGAAACCCATAGCGTAGAAAAGTTTTCGGTAATGAAAACTCGCCGAATTCAATCAATTAAACTTTCGATTCGGTTTTAATTCGAATCTCTCTATGCGTCTTTTCATTAGCCAGTTTATCGGTTTGTTTTTTAACACTCCGATCGGGCCAATGATTCGGACGATGTTTTTCCAAGCTCTTTCTCTATCTAAATTAATTTTGTATTTTCATTTTCTTTCATTTTTCCATTTCAATGTGAACCTGACACTTACGGACGCTCGAACACAAAAAAACGTACAGATTGGAACAAATAATTGCACAGCTCGGTATCGCACGTTGAGTGGCGGCATTGGAGAATCACCATCGTTGTCACCAAGTCCATCGTCTGATTATGATGATGATGAAACTATCACTAAACAACATTTGCCCAACTTGAACAAAAATAAACGAAATGGAACCCACAAAGGAGCCATAATTAGCCAAAAAGTGACCGTGCATCATGTAAGTACATTCAATTTTAATGCATGCATAGCAGGAAACTACTATTGAGCTTGTGATGCTTGATATATTCATCTTGATTGTCGTACACACGGAACATCTATGTAAATGGGAAGAAAATCCCGCATTTGATGTTGCAAAACTGGATGGTTTTTCAAATTGAGTGGTTTTTCGATCTTCTGCTGATTGTACACCACAAAACAGTAAACACTTTTGCTTTATTTTCTTTCACTCAAGCCAGGAAGTAGTAAAAAAAGATTGTTTGTGAGTGTGTGTCACATTGCTTCTAGGTTCTTCGATAAATCGAAGCGAATCGATGCGTGTGTGCTTCTCTTTTCTTTCCCTTTCTATCGCTAATTCATGCGGTACATAGTGGCAAACATCGATTCGTGCACACAAAGTTCAAAAGAGCACGTACTTCGAATACGCGAATGAAGCAATTGCAAAGGGAAAATCTAATTATGTATTTGATTTCCAATCACAAACAATACACGCACACACAAATATACTATACAGTTATGCACACACAAGCACACTCTCATACAACCATACAAATACAAATAAAACAACCATATTGAATGGCAAAACGAATATCCGACAAAAGTTAGTTCGTGTGCACTGTTACTGAACTTGATTGTGTTTACAACAATTACACAGTACGATTCAAAGCCATCAACCGAAACCATTTTCACAAATAAAACACTATACTAGATTTGCTGTGAGACTGTTAATGATCCAATTCTGGGTTCAGTGCCTAGAGTTTTTTTTTGTGCCGGCCGTTTATTTGGTTAATGTTTACATTAGGCAAACAATCGGTTTTTCATTTTATTGTTATAACATCCCTTTGCATTTCACACGCAGCAGCCGTTTGTAGCGTTAGTGTCACTACTATTTTCTGCAGATCTTTATAATTACCTCATGGTGTATGTATGTATGTGTATATCTGTTTTCCTCATTTGAACATTTTGTATTCTTTGAACGAAAAAAGAAATCGGACAACACAAAATCTCAATAAAATTCTATGAAAGCCGATTCTAAGTAAATGTGCCTGTGCCAATGCGTGACGATACTTCGTAAGCATTTTTTATGTTCATGCCAGTTGTTATTGTCAGAATCTATTTCGACAAAAACCTATGCTGATTTCTAGCTCGAATTGTAGCATCACACCGAGATGTAAATGGTTTTTCAAGAAATAACAAAACTATATGACGCATCGTAAAAATTGTGATTTTGTGCACTTTTGAAATAATCTGCTCGCGTTTGTCGCTACTCAGTTGGATGACATACTAAATTCCCAACAAATTGAGGCGTAAAAAGTCCGCTCTTCGCTCTCACTACTGGTAAAAACAAGTGAAAATAATAATGCAGTCCGAAATCGTGTATCTTTGGCCGTAAAAAAAGCTATCGTATGGCGTTGACGTTTATGCTCCTTTCTAATTCCACTGGGATTAAATCTGGGGAGAGAAAAAAAAGCATCAACAGCCAAAACAGAAAAGCGAAAATAAAACAAAACAATGAAAACCACGTCAATAAGTGCCACATTTCCACATCGTTACATAAACCGTGTTAATGATAATGATTTTTACGACTAACACTTCTGTCGCGATATTATACGCTCAGCATTTGTTTCTCACTTTCTTTGGAATTCAGTAATCCTTTGTGATTTTCGTTGAAATGGGTTTAGTAATTATTGTTTTTCTTTTGTATCCATTAATTTTATTTTAAAAAAAACAGCCAAATGATTTGCGCAATTCACCAAAAGAGTTGAAAAAATTCAATGAAACAAATAGAAAATTCAATGGTACCAAGGATGTGTCCAGGGATTTTAGCAATTCACAAGATAATACAGATCGGGGCAGCATAAGTGACCAAGCGTTTGCATGCTCAGCCAGCTCAGTTGAGAGTCTACCGAGTGCGTCCGGATCAAGTAAGTTTTATTCCTTTTGATTTTTTTGTTGCTTCTTTTTAATTAAAACGAAACCAGACATTTTTTTTTGTGATAAAGATTTTTTTTTAATTAAATGATGACACGTATTATGCATTTTGAAAAAAAAAAACTAAAACTTTCGGTACATTTTGACAGGCACACAAGCGCTTGTACGACCTGGTAGTCCAAATAGTTCAATATCTGAAGATCGCATCAATTTGAAACAGCCGATTTGCTTAGCAAAAGCCTTAGTTGATTGCTTACCGAGCTCTTATGACAAAGAAGCGCTACGTTTTATGGTTAGTAGGCTTATAATATTTGCTTGTAATACAAACAATATATATATTTGTTTTTTTTTTTTTTGCATAAAATAATCAAATGTTTGATATTTATTCATTTTCAGAAGGGTGATTTAATCGAAGTAATATCGATGAATGCGTCGGGAATTTGGCGAGGCAGATGTCATGGTAGATTGGGTCACTTCAAATTCATCAATGTTGAAGTGCTTCCAGATCAACGATGCGCTAACAATGTAAACACCATCAGTCGTGGTGGTAATAATGGAATTCCCACATCGGTCGAAGATTTATTGGTTCGCATCGGTCTGAAGGAATACACTTCGGTTTTTGTGCTCAATGGGTAAGTTTTTATTCCTATCTATATTTATGATGAATTCGATAACATTCATAATAATTTTGTGATTTAAATCAATCGATGACATAATTCTATACAAGAAAGGTCTATAACGAAACCAAACAAAAATTTCTTCTTTTTCAGGTATGAAGATCTTGAACTGTTTAAAGAGCTTGAACCAGCTGATTTAGATTATTTGGGAATAATAAATAACGATCATCGTGCAAAACTATTGACGGCCGTTCAACTTTTGCACGATATCGATGTTATATCCGATGGCGATGTGGCTGGCTCAAGTTCAGAAAATGATGAAACACGTTTCAATCAAATGAATAATAAAAAACATGGTTCATCACCATTTGGACGTCGTCATTTTCCACGTGATTCCGGTTGTTATGAAGGTTCACCCGTACCAAATGTAAATCAATCACATCAAACAACCGTAATCGATGAATCGGCCCACACTTTGGACGATGTAGTTGCTCAATGTTCGAATGAAATTTTAAAACGTGTCGAAAGTGCACGCCGCATGAAAGATGAGAAAACAAGTGCTGCGCCAATGAAAGGTGTACAACGGATGGCAAAGAAAGGTTTACTCGGTGGTGGCACAGTACTGGGCAGCAATGCTGATGACACATTATCGCGTGGTGGTGCTTTAAGCGAAAAATCCAGTGATTCGGGTGTTTCGAGCAGTTCACTATCTTCAGGCCCATTGAAGAATAACTCTTAACGTCATCGGTTATTAAACCACACATTGCTATCAAGTTGAAAATGTGCACGTGCGTAAAATGGAAAAATTTGCACAATAAAATCTACCCTACGAATTAAATGGATAGCGCAATTGCGTTGTATGTATATCAAACGAAATGTGAGTCTTCTCTTAAATTATATATATACATGTATAAAATATACATATTTCATAATATAAAGAGAGAAGAGGATGTTTGATATTTGATAAAGACGAATCATAATAAAAATAAAAGAAAAAAGAAATAAGATTACAATCGTCTGCGACGCTGTGGTCTTGTCACGGTCCCCAAAACAGAGAAAATGAAAATGGTCGAAATAAAAATAGGGAGTGATTATTCAAACAGTAATGCTGTGATTTGTTAAACGATTTAGTTCAAATGTAAAAAGATCTATAAATACATGCATGAGTTTACTTGTAAAAAAACATATTAAAAAAATGGTAAAAGTAGGTACAGAAAAGCATGCTTGTTGCCGGAAACAAATGGAGAAATGTTTGGCTTTGTTTGTTTTCCTTTCGTTGCGAATTGCTTGCGTCGAACACTTTTCGTTTCTGTAAAAAGTTCTTAAGTGTAAATAAATTTCATAAATTATTATTTAAATAAAATGCAAATGGAAGTCGGAAATAAAACAAAAAAAAAAATATGAGAACCGAAAGGTTTAAAAAAGTTTTTGCCATCAGATGCGGAACAAGAATGAATTTCAAAATTTCAACGTTTAACAGCCAATATTAGTGTAAGAGCAAAAAAACGAAGTAATTTTAATAATCGTCATGTCATAGATACAAAATCGAAAAGAGTCCATTATAAAACGGTATAAAATAGAAATTTAATCTAAACCACACACCCTGTCTGTGAATAATTGTGAGATAATACTTAACATAATTGACATAATACTTAAAAAAATGGTTTCTGGAATTTCCACACAATGCCCAGAAGAAAATGAATGAGCCCATGCGCCGATTAACAGAAAGGAACAAAAGAAGCAAAAAAAATTAATGAATTTAGACAACAAATGGCCGCACATTAACACAAACAATTGCCAAAACGCGAATGACGATAGAATAGAAACTATATATTGTAATTCACACTTTTATAGAAGACGAACGCACGATCAATCCATCAACAACAACTCACAAATACACACACACAGAAACAAAGAAATCCTCGCATGCATAGAACATTGAATATGTTTCTCTTGTTTTCATTTTTGTGCTGATAAATGTGGAAATAAATAACAATCGTAATTTGGGTCTTAAATAGTTTTTAGCCGCTTCATTTTCGAAATATGTCAACGTTTGCTAGATATTTAAATACATATATTATTCACACACACACACATAAATAAATATATATATAATGACATCGAAGCCGTTTCCATGTTCATGATATCATTCTTTTTACTTAATTCCACAATTGTTACACACACATATATAAATGCAAAAGAAAAAAACTATAGTAACTATAACGATAACTTTTATCATGTAACGCAACATTTTATATATGTATTTACGATATAAATGTACGATAACAAAAAAAAATATATAAAACAACAAAATATCAATGACAATGAAAATGGGAAATAGTTGAAAGTACGTTCTATCATAGAAAAAATGAATCAAATAAAATTATGAACATATTATATATATACGTATTGTTAAGCAGAAACATAAATGGATATGTAAAAATATGAATAAAATTTTAGTCACACACAAAATGAAAGACGCAAATAAGCAATAAAATGAAGAAAAAAAATGCAAATTCGTCAATATTAGAAGAAGAAAACAATTGAATGGAAAAAACACGTTTTTATTAGTATCTATTTATTTTAGTTTCCGTTATTCTATTTTTATCTTTTTTTTCTCGCTCGCATTGTAATAACAATTATTAAAGTAAAAATATACAAAAGTGAAAATATACATTTTGTTTTCTATTATTCACTTGGAAATTTCAGTTCTAGCCGGTGACGTCCCTACTGAGTTTGTACATTATGAAGATTGGAAAATGTCTTCGAAAAGCTGTTTGAATCGACTTTTTTATAAGTTCCGATAAATCGATGTAAGACGGCGAATTTAAACAATTTGGAATTCTATTTAGGAGCCGCAATAAAATAACCCCCAAAAAGCCACTTACATCGTCTATAACACGAATTAAGGTAATTAAGCAGCTAGAAATATGCGGTGTTAAAAACACAGTGGCCTTAGAAACAGGAGTCGAATCACAAGTCAAGGGAGAAAAACAATAAAACTCAAAGCCGACGCTTTTCAGAAAATGGTTAGGTGGAAATCGTGCATTCGGATTACGTGACAAATGAGAATTTATTTTGACATTATCGAAATGTCTGCTTTTAGTTGGAATTGCCGTTTATTTTATATCCAATTTCAATTACGCTTTTTCGATGACGCTCCTTTTATTCGATTCTTTTCGAATATTTCAACATTTTGCATTTAATATTATTCATCTGTTTACTTCAATCACAAAAAGCATTTTTCTTCTTGCACCATCGGCCCAACACTGAAAATGAGAAAATTGCAAAATCTAAATAAAAAAAATGCCGCGAATAAAATGTGTCGCAATCACAACATAACGACAATTCATTCATTCACTTCATCCCGAATAGCATTTCTCATTTTGGATCATAGATTTATAAGATTTCGTTTTGCATTCAGACCGTCAAAAACCGTTTCGAGCCGGCGACAATACAATGGAAGCCAAAGAAAGTGGAAAAAAGGGAATAAAACACATGTACGAATGCAAAACACAGTGTATTTTGGTGTATCGGATGTGAATGACAGTTAATATCAGATTATTTGAGCAATTTTAAAAATATATATACTTTTTTTTCTCCATTGGCACATTTGAGCTGAAGCAACGATATAAAAAAAAATAAAGGCGCTATCATCGTCTTTTTCGCTAGAAATGTGTTTAGAATGTTGAATGAAACGAACAAACGAAATGGAGAATAACAAAAAATAAAATGTTGCATTTGTACTTGGAAATTGGCAGAACGATTACACAAGTGGATGTGTTTTTTCGGCGTGTGAGCGCGAGAGTGAAGTTGAAGTAGACATTGAAAAAACTCATGAAATACCCGAAATTAGAGCGAACGGTTTTTTTCTATTTAAATGAATGTAAGTAACATTTGTTGTCATTGGCGGATAAAATTTTTAAATTTATGTGTTTTTTCGTTGTTGGAATGAAACGCTGAGGTAACGAAATTAAAATGGTTTCCATCCATAAAAAGTCAAGGATTGGACGGCAGCAGCGACACAAAAATTTGCTACTGCAATTCCAATCAATGTAGGGAATACACTCGAACTAGTTTTTTTATAGAATTTTTTGTTCGCATCTTGACCAAATGGTTGCTATCATACAAGACATTTGAATTTCAATTTCCACGGAGAGACATTGCTTGGCCAAAGAAGAACAAAGTTGAGTGAGAGAGGTAAAAAAACCGACTTGGTTTTTTATACAGTTCAAATCAATGTGTTTTCACGGATTGTCGTTAATGTTGTATTTTTAAAACGAAAACCATTTGGATGGAATGACAGCCGTAAAAAAAAGCGACCAAATGCAAAGCGAAAATAAAGTGCTGAGCAATAAATTTATTTTACGAGTGTCGTCCGTTCAACAAAATTTTCATTCTGTTCAACATTTTCTGCTTATTTTTGCACTCTACAGTTGAACAGAGAATGAGCGGTGGGAAAAAGAAAATAAAGAAGACGAACAGTACTCTCTCTTTCGTTTGGCCACTCATGCCTGAGTATCCATGCGATACGTGTCAAGATCGTTCTCGTCACTTATGCATACCAGCAAATTTATCTACTGATGTATTGGGCGTTTCGATTTAATAACAACCACCTTAAAGACGTCCAGAAAACGACGAACGTCGCACAACCTGAAATAATAGATGAATTCGATTTGCAATTTAAAAGACGGTGTGTCTTAAGTTATTCGCTTTTTTTCTCTCTGTTCCATTACAACACAGTAGAAGAGAAAGAAGAAATTGATAAGAATGAATCGACTGATGCTTTACTCTCTTGCTCTTCTTTTTTTCCACATCGTTTTTATTTCTCATTCTCTTCATCTTATTTTCTATCACGCCGAATAATTTATTGAAGATGGCAATCCCCATTGAATTTTAAATTATTGGTGCATTTCTTGAGCAAACGCAAAATATGTCAATGATGAAAAAATGACTATTGCACTAAAAAATCTCTCTCTCTCATTGTATAACCGAGACGACATTGTGAGTGGGTACACGCGAAAACCCCAAAACCGGATCTTCTTATAGATGGATTATTCTTTCAAAATTTATACATGGATTTTGAATTTATTTCATTTTGTTTAAATTATTTCTCGCTCCCATTCCCTGAAATCTCCATTGGAAAAAATGTGCCGAATAAAATTCGTTCTTTTGCATTTTTTCCGTTTTATTCCATTCCGTTTTTCTTGCGTTTCGACTTTGGCTGCAAGTTCGTATTTTCCTTTGGCTATTGAGATTCGGTAAATTATATTCCATTGTAAATAATGTCGACATTATGAATATCTATCAAGTAAAAATGTCTCCTTGTGGGTCGACATGGGAAAACGCGACCACAAAAATGAAGTACTCGAGAGCTAAGACGTCTTACGAACCAGCGCATATAACTTGATTCAATGCAACAGACGAAAGACGATAGTAAGAAAATGTTATACAGATTCGATTAGGACACAAGCAAGTAAAAAGAATATAACAAGAGGGAAAATTTAACAATTTTCCAAATAATACATCATGTTTGTGTTGCTGCAACATTGCTATCGTCTATCCAAGCAAAGCCATGTTGTGTGCGGGGCGCTGCTGCATTACATTTCGATACTCAACAAAAAAAAACACGAAGAAAAGAAAACAGCACCAGTTACAAAAAGTGTCGCCGAGAATTGTGTAGCATTGTGAATGCGAGTTTTTCTTGAACGAAAACCGTCATTGCAGGTTTTCCTCTCGTTAGAAATGAAAGTCTGTTGAAAATATTTACATGGCGCATCATTGATTTTGGATAAGAAAAAAAATTAAACTAAAAATGCTTCAAGTGTGTATGCATTGTATTGGTTTTGTGGCTTTAGCCTAACGAAGTAGTATCAATGACTTACTGTTAGCGTACATACCTCGGCATCAATGTATCCAATAACCTATTTCATTCATGATCGGCAACTTCTAGGTTATACGTACATTACATACTGTTTGCAACATAAATGGATGAACTTTGGTGAAACATTTACCAATCTCATCAGTTTTTTTCATAAATATTCAATGTAAACCTGATGGAAAAGAATATACACAACTGCAACGACGTGAATATACGTAATCAATGTTTATCGCCAATTTTCATCTTTAATATGACATGTGATTCGTTTCTTCGCCTGTCGTGCAAATGCCATTCTACTCTTGTTCGTATTGTGCCATGCGTTGCATCACATTGTGAATAGCAAAAAAGAAACGAAACTCCGTCTGACATTTTTCCACCACTATCAAATGTAATAATGATAAATATAGGAAAGCCGCTTAGGTAGAAGATTTTCTACACTTATAAACTTGATTTATACACAATATTTCCTCAAATCATTTCCCCAAAAAATTAATGTATGTGTCAGCAGTACGTCAGAGCACACCATCGTGGTGTCGCATCTTGAAAAGAGGATATGTGTCTTCCGTATTCACTTGATCGAGTGTATTTATACGTCATGTAGTGTACGAGCTACGTAAGATATACCGCTGATGACATGTGAATATTATGTTTTGGTTTGGTTATGATGAGCATTTCTGGTGAACGAGCTAGAAAAAAGCGACTAAGATGCTCACATGTACACAACACATTTCGTTTCACATTGCAAGTGCGTTTGTGGTTATTCCACCATTCGATGTGCTTACGTATGGCGCGTGTTTTCCGTGCGAAACTTTAACTTTGTTATTTTTATACTTTTGATTACATTTCTTGGTTTTTTTCCATTTGTCTCCATTGAGTTTGCTTACTTTTTTCCACCATTTTCAATGTATTTGTCACATTTATATTTTTTAAGCTTTTCGCTTTTAAATTCCCTTTTCGGCTTCATTGTTTGTAAGACCGAATGGGTTATATTTCTGTGCTTTTGTGTTTTCTTCGTTTTTGCGTATTTGTCAAGTCTGCTGACTGAGTAATATCATTTATAGCAAGCAAATCTTCTTATTTATTGTTGCATATTACAAACAAAACCAGTGGTGTGTGCGTGTATATGTATGGAAATTTTTCTCGTCCAATCTTGTGTGCCATGTATTTATCTTTTGTAACATTTGGTGAACAACATCATAGAAAACTTTATTAAAAGTTCAATGATTTCATTCGACGTGTCTTATTTGAATTTAAATTTGTTGTTGCATTGAACGAATTGAGCTAACGTGCTCATAAGCAATAGCTTTTGACATTTTTAAACTTCTGATCTGTGTTTCGAATACAAAATAGAATTTAAATTATTGAAATTCGATTGGCAAGGTGAAATATGCAAAACGAATGCACGCACATAAAAAATGATATTCGGTGTGGTAACAAATGTTATTTGAATGCTCAAAAATAAAAACATCATATTATTTCGTCTCAGATCAAAGCTGGGGGACGGACACAAAATCTAGTAAAATCTAGTTTCATAGTTTACTGCTAATTTTGCTAATATTTTTCTAATATTAATAAAAAAATCTACTATTATAACTATACAGACATACTAATATTGCTAATATTATTAGCAATTGCTAATATTAGTTCACTAGTATAAACGTCAAACGTCAAATAGCTGATCTCAAAGTGAAATCATGTATGAATTTTTCATAAATTCTTAGATGAACATTTAACATTTTTTTTATTTTTCCTGGTTTAGAAAAAATAAAATTTATTTCTATTAAGTAGTAAAACACTTAAAGTAACAAAAAAAGTTTTCGGTGAGCAAAGTGCGCAATTCTCTAACAAGCAATGGTGAAGCAAAACAAACTAAATTTTGCTAATATTTTGCTAATATATTCCGCTAATATTCTAATATTTATAATGGTGTCCGTCCCCTAGGATCAAAGAAAAGAAAAGGTTTGTTATTGCCGCAATATGTATTTTAAATGGGTAGACGCTTTTGTATTTTTCAGAGATGCTCACTCTACATATAAGTTATATGTATATTGACTAAATTGTATACGGCTGATCCAGAGAATACCTTTGTATTGTAGCAAGATGTATGGAACCCTCGGCAGTGATTATGGGGTGTAAAAACAAAATGATCGATTCGTGTAAAAAACAAAACCATCAAAAGTATCGCTTTTTTGAAGCAAGAATTTACAAATTGGTTCGAACAGTTATATGAAGAAACTCACTATATGTCTTTATATGTTTATATAGAGCACACTGTCAGCTCACACAGCCTCTGATAAAAGCAGAGACAGCGATGAAGCTTATACAGTATAAAATATTTCCATACCAAATGTTGCAATTAAATTATCGTCTTTTGTTTGTTGGGTCCCAAATCATAAAATTCAGAGCAAAAAAATCTGCAAAATTCAAGGTATAATTTTTTTATTTTGCCTTAATAAGTTGGAAAAACTGGTTTATTCGCATGCACTATTGAAAGACATGTTCCCCATACCGTATTCAATCAAAAAATGTCTACCCTCCTTTATTTTTTTTTTCGTCGACGAAGATCGAAAAATGTTCAACGCAATGACAGCGTTTTCATAAAGCAAAGCAGACAAGTGGAAAATTAAAATACGAACATTCAATGGTACACTGGCGAATCAGATATGACTCCAAATGTATCCGAATGTTGTTCTGTTTGCCCTGAGAAACCGAAAAAGGAAGAAAAAACCTAGAGAAACTAATAAAATTGAGCGTATTATCCGTTTGTTGGTGAGTGCGATTATTAATGACAGATGCAGAGTGGGTAATATTTTTACGTTAACTGTAACGAAGTGTGATTTGTACCACTGAATTTGCCATCCATATAACTCAATGTTGCGGCTTCTCAGTATATTCTTTTTGGTCTCGTTTATTCGCTACTTTGATTCATGACTGTGAAGACTCATGGCATAATTTGTTTTGAACACAAATATACGCTAAGCTTCTACTATGTGGTTGCATGCAAACGATGGCCGCTATCCACGTTGGAAACTCCAATTATTTCCAGCATTTCGTTTTTCTTTTAATGCATTTTTTGCTCTGTATCTTTTCTACGTTCGAATAGTACACATAAAATCCCTCTCATTTCCTCCGCACATCATTCAAATGCAAATCTTTTAAATTAAAGATTCGATTTATTTGTATAAATGCACACGCACACACGGCTTTAACCTGTTTGAACTTGTGTATAGTATTTCGACCGGCATTTGTAAATGTTAATGGCGAATCAAAATGAGAATGGCCCAAATGGCACACCGGAGAGAAAAAAAAAGATAGAGATGAATGTACGTTTATATTAGATCTAATGCATCACTGCTACCAACTTAAGCTGGAGAGATAAGATAAGTGAGATGGGGAGCCGAGGAAAAAAAATATTATGTGCAGAGCGCACATAAATAACCCAAGATGCTAGACAGTCAGATTATTAATTAGCTTAACGAGTGCACCCAACGAAAACACAGAACACTTGACTTACAGTGAAATATTACGGCGAAAATTTTCTACATTTTCCGTACTAAATACGCCAACATTTGCCTTGTGCCTTGTGCCTGTTTGCTGTATGCTCTAGGATCTTCAAATGAATGTTAAGAAAAGGGAAAAAAATACCATTTTATTCAGAAAATGAATAGATAGTAAATCAACGAAAAGTCGAATACATGCTAAACGAAACAGTTTGCTTCTGTGATGAGATTGTGTTGGTGTGCGTCACTGTGCGCTTTTGAAATATACTGATCGCCGTCCGATAAGTATCAACAATTCAGATGCAACGTTGAAATGAGAAATGAATGAGTTAAGGCGACAAACGTAATGAAAAAAAAAAATGCCAAAAGAAATATAAAAATAAGAAATATTGACTAAAATTTAATTGGCCACAATCCTTTGAGCGTTCTTCGTACTTCCTCTGTCACTTCAATATCTTGACCATTTTTTTCTTCTTCTCATTTTCTTCTGTTTCACTTTCTTAATGTTTCATTCACAGGCCGTCTTTTTGTTCACTCTTATCTCCATTCATAATTAATTATACGCCGAGTTTTTTTTCTCTCTACACGCTCCAGTTTCTATTATCCATTTCTTTCAACTTTTAACTGTCTTATGTCATTCTCTCTTTTTTCGTCTTTTCATTTCGGTCGTTGATTTTATTGTTCATTTCTTTTCCGTTGCTTTTATTTCATTTTTCTGGCGCGATAGCGAATGACTGTGTGTTGTCACACATTTTTTTTGGTATCATTTTTATGCACGCACATGCATAAATTTCTTTTGGTTGTCATATAACCCCTCGTTGAAGTTACATTTTTTTTCTTTGTTGCGGCGGCGTGCACACTTCAAAAATGATAAAAAGAACAAGAAAACAGTTCTTTTAATTTATTAAACCATTCTTTTTAATTATTTATTTTTCTCATAATTTTCCATCGTTTTTCTCCTCTTTTCCCTCTATCGTACACATACAGAAGAACAATGATTACATACAGGCAGAAAAATAAGTTGTTTTTTTAGGTTTCATTTATATACTTTCCATACGTAGACCTATTTTTTTTTATATGATAATTCCGGTTTTCCATTTTATATTTTTACAGGAATGTACTAGATATGTACTGAAATGTTACTGCGTTTGCAATTAATAGATATCGTCCTAGGTGAGATAAAAATTGCGTTAAAGAGATGCTTGAAGTGCTAAATAGTTTGAAGACAGTATTTTATTGTTCTTTTTTTACATCACATCTAACTTAGCGGAAAGAATAAACAAATGCAATTGTAATTTAAAAAAATAATACACAAGTTATAGATATTTATTTGCTAATCGTATTCATCTTATGTGAATTGAAATGCGCGTATTGCGCTCCAATTTTTGGAGATGCAATGAATTGAATTTATACCACAATAAATATATTTACAGTAATGGATTAAGTCTTTCCAGTTCATCAGCGGTGATATTATGATTTTTCTCTTTTTCGGCACTTTCTTTGGATCTTTTTGGGAGGCTCCAGAATTTCTGTGAAAAAATTTAAACAAAATGATTATCCTTCTGTGAACTACTAGATAAGAAATCAATCATACTTGATCAGCACCGAACATTCTCGCCTCGGCCATTGAATCGGGAAGCTTTTGATAGAGTGTTTCGGGCAGGAACAGGCCTGCTATTGAACCGATCAGACATAGTGCAAATAATATCATAATTGGATATCGGCTGTCGTATTTGGTGCCCTGAAATCAACATTAAAAATTAATTCATAAATTGTTTTTTGCTCATAGTAGAATCATGAAACATTTTTATCTATCGTTTTTCACAAAATCGGACGGAAAATAAGTCATAACAATCGCGTGGGTTTCTCCATTCCGAATAAAATAAGTTATATCAATTGTATTTTCATACTCCGAAAAACATATTACTTATTTAACCTTATAAATGGAGAAAAAAAAAAACGAAAAATGTTTCTCGAATTTAATAAAGACAAGTGGGAAGTTTTGTTCAAGTACACAAATTACCACCAGCCAACAGACACTTTAAGTCAGTGCAATTTATAAATTTAATTAAAATTAAGTCAGCCAAGTTACGGAGATAGACAAGCATTGAGTGAGGCACAGTGAGGTTTTTATAGTTTTTGCCACTATTTATTGGCCGAATGAGTGCCAAATATTTGAATCGTTAGTGTGCTTTGTTTCAGGGAAATTCATTTGTCTTGTCTTGTCTTGCTTGGAATGTTCGGTCTGTTTTCATCGGTTGAATGCGATGATGCCAAAGATAAAACATTGTTCATAAATAAGTGTGCAAGACTTGGCAAAGCATGATAACAAAATGCAATTGCCATTGCATCGAAACTTGACGCATCGTCTGTTGGTATATGTACAGCAAAACAAACGAATGAAATTTTAATCTATTGTCTATTGTGTTTGTACTTTAAGAAGTTTTACGTACACTGAGTGTGAATATGAAACTAAAAGTGAATTTCCATTCGCCCGTGCTCTGTGTTGCTGTGCTGATAATAATATACAGTAGTTGCGATATATTTTGGTGCATTCATAAGCTGAGAAGTCGTTATTTGTTGTTGTTGTTGCATACGCCGCACCGAAAATGAACGAAGAAACTTTCAATATGCTAAATATATAATTTGGTTTCATGTTGTTTGTTTGTGCACTTGTGACTCCAAATTTTTATCAAATTATTTTTAATTAAGAGCAAAAGCATATCGAAATAAACTGAATTACAATTAAATTAAAACGAAGAAAATCCAAATCAATACATTCCATTCAAATTCGAATGTGTTGAGTAGTGTTGAATGCAATCAGTAAATTTAAACCATACTTTGAAACTTTATACGATACTATTGATCATTTGTGGTACAAGACAACAAGTAAAATATTTCGATTGCACCAAATTGTCTGGTGCAGAGGGAAAATCAATTTTGAAACAATTGCAAGAAATGAACTTTTCTTATGCAACCCGAAAGCAACAATAATTTGCAAACAATACTATCAGATTTGTGTATTTCCTTCTTTGCAATGACATTTTCCAACGATTTTCTTTTGAACGCATTCAACTCAGCACACAAATCAAATGATAACTTGGCTAAAGCTTCCAAAGAACAAAGTTGCTCACTTTATCTCGACCGAAGCAGTTGAAGAACACTCTTAATAATTTCTTTATTTGTCTCTCCCCCTTCTCTGTCTCTTTCGCTCTAGTCTATCTCTCTCTGTCCCTCATTCTTTCTTACACCGCAACTATTGTGCGGAAGTAAAGTTCCTATTTAAAACAAAATTTATCCAACCGCAATGGTGGAATGAATGGCATAGCTGACGGCAAACTGAGTGCTAAGCCATCGTTAGTGTAGCCAGGAAATGGTGAATTTTTTTATTGCATCGTTTTATTCATGAATGATTCTTTTGAAATTGAATAAAAGTTTCCGGTCAGCAAAATGCAAAGCAATTCCTCCGCAGCTTCGCAGGATGAATGAAGACATCATAACAAAAGGAAAGAACAATCAAAGAAAATTTACTAAGAAGCTTTTATCATTGTTGTAATATAACTGAATGACACTCTATCGAAAAATATTTCGTACAAATATTTAAGATAATTTCACATGTAAATCATTAAAAATGTGGGGGGAAATTCTTATATCAACATTTCTCCTATTTTTCGTTCTTTGACACTCGATGCAAATATACGATGTCTTGAAGTAATTGTTTTAAAAGTAAGAAATGATGAAGTAAGTCATTACGGATAAATGGAGTGATTCCAAAAAGTTCATTGTCTGTTCTTGTTTTGAATTCATGAAAACTTTTAATTGAGGCCTCGAGGGAATTATTTTTTTCGCTTCAGATTATTTTGAAAGACAAAACATAATTTAAAAATAACCGATAATAATGACATACCAAATAGACGATGTAAGGACCCAAAATTCCAATAATATTCGATCCGATTGTGCCAATTGAAAGACCAGTCTGACGTAAGCACGTTGGATACGTTTCCATGGCTTGTAAATTGATTACAAAAAATGTGATTGCAAGCCAAAACTTCACAACGATTACCGAGCATGTAGCGATATACTCCCACTCAACGTCTACATTTTTTAAACAAAAGAAAAAAAAGAAAAAAATGTGATTGAGAAACTAAGTAATGAAATGAAGTAAAATTGAAATTTTAAACCGATTTGGGGTTGGGGTATAGATGTGCCAAATCCGATATGTTAATACATTTTGTATTATGATAATATTTATTAGGATGCTATTAACTATTAACAACCAATCATACTACGCATATTAACATGAGTAGTAGTATTAGGATCGATGTTAATAGCGAGTAGTAGTATGTTTATTATCTATTAAGATGCCAAAGTTAATACGCGCCATTTGCAATTTTTCGTAAACAAACAATATTTTGACCGATTCAATTTTTATTACATTTTTTTCTTATTTGTAATTTTTATTGATTTTTTTTAATTTTTTATGAATTTTATTGGAATTTATTATTTATTAGAAAATTATTTTCGATTTTTTAAGAAGAAATTTATTTTGTTTTTGTTCGGTAAACAACGATTTATACAAACTGTGGTTCGTACGTCACAGCTATGCTTAACATACAGAATTGACAAAATGCACCTTACGTCAAACGTAAAAAAGAGCGCGTTCAATACTTCATGTCATTAGAGAACCACTTGAAAAGAATAAAATCAATATACTATTATTATTTATTCATTTTTTCTTCTTAAAAAAAACGAAAATAATTTTCTAATAAATAATAAATTCCAATAAAATTCATGAAAAATTAAAATATTCAATAAAAATTACAAATAAGAGAAAAATGTGATAAAAATTGAATCGGTCAAAATATTGTTTGTTTACGAAAAATTGCAAATGGCGCGTTTTAACTTCGGCATCTTAATAGATAATAAACATACTACTACTCGCTATTAACATCGATCCTAATACTACTACTCATGTTAATATGCGTAGTATGATTGGTTGTTAATAGTTAATAAAGGATTTTTCGTATTTAGTAATAAGATATGTTAATATTTCTGTGTTAATAGGACATCTATAGGTTGGGGTGAAAAAAAAAATGTCAAAGATCTTGTCATTCGAAAGCTGAGTCAACTTCCAAGTTGCAAAAATCCCGAATAAAGTTTTTTCAAAGTTTTAAATACGAATAAACTACAACTGATTTTCATTTGTGAACGAGAGAAAAAAACTTATCTTCTGAATACAACTTACAATTAGCAAGAATGATGGTAGGAATGCAGAAGAGAGATGCCAAAATGAAAGAAAATGAGTTTGTCCATCGTCGACCAAGAGTATTTGCTGCACAAGATATTTTCCATAAATCAAATTAAATATGAAAAAAAAAACTTTAATCAATTCTTATTAGTGATGTCAAAATGCAAAATGACATTGACTTACCCATATAAGTTCCAAGAAAAAATGCAGGCGCCTCGATTGCACTCTGTATGAAGAAATTCAAAAATGGATTTCCATCGGCTTGTGATATGTACAAAATTAATGTGAAATAAGCAAGTGTGCAAATCATCCTGCCCCGCAACAAAGTCACACAATGACATCGATAGCATCGTTATTTTCACATAAAGACAAATTGAATGCAAATCAATCAATGCGTTAATTAATGCTCGTTACATCAATTCAAATAGCTTTAAATTGACAACGAGACCCCATTCATCATATTCACTCTGGCTCGTAGCGCAGTGTCTTTTGATATGAAATCAGTGGCGGATTGTCAATTTAAATTTATCGATTTTCCCTGATATGACTGTGATTCACTGTGAATGGCACACAATGTGCTCAAAGAAAACCAATTGCCTCGCACATCATCCTCGCATGGAGTTGCGATCTAATTAAATGATTTTTGAAATCTTCCATTTGCTCTATTCATCCGTTTGCAACTTCATATGTTATTGGCAGTTAAGGCACAATCATTAGCAGGGAAAACGATAGACAATGGTAGAAAATGTTAATATCAATTTACCAGCAGATAATTAAAATCGTTGTATTTTTCGCTAAACGAAATCCACTGAATAGTGACAACATTCCGTAAATTTTTTCAGGTTCATCATTTGGTATCAACGTTCGCAGACCTTTTTCAGTCAAATGGATGGACTTTTTATTGATTTTCGCGATGCGATTCAAATAATGTGCTGCTTTGTCCAGTTTTCCGCGATTAGCCAACCAGCGCGGAGACTCAATCATGTAACTGGATGCAAATTGAAATGGATACAATTGATTTTTGATATAAACATAAAGTGCATGCAAGTCGTTAATGTCATTTTCCACGAATCGGCGTGCATTCAAACACGACCATTTTCATTTACAATGCTCATAACACATTACATTGTTGTACAAATTGGTAACTATCAATCAGTCAGATATCAATTTCGAAGAATCATTGTTTTTTTTAAATTATTTTTCTGTTTGAAAGAATCAAAATGGACAATTTATACAAATGCTTTTTTTATAAATGAAGAAAAAAAGATGAATATTTACTTAAAATGTCGCTTTTGGATGTTTTGTATAAAAAGAGCGATTTTTCATATTTAGAAAAATGGTAAATCAGATTATAAAGAAGATTTTCGAGATGGAAACAATTCCAGGAAAGTGTATCTTACATGCCATTTCTGGCTGAATTAAAAGAGAAATTTTTATATAGTGATATTTCAGAGCGCGATTCCGGCGATTTTCTGTACCGCACAAAAAATCTCAATTGTCAGTTTACTTTTGCCCAGTTTTGCGCTTTAAAAATAGTCGGTTGTCCAAATATTATGTTTTTCAGCATTATATGGGGAATAAGAATTAAATAAATAAAGAAAATAAAAAAAACGTACGTTGGAATGAAAATGAAAATGAGCAATGGTAGTGATGTTATAACGAAGAAAGAAAACCAGTCGCCAACGATCCAGTATATAAAGGGCAAAATACATAAGCCTAATGTCCACGCCAGATTTTGAATGATTGCCACATTCGCTCGATCGTCTCTGTCATGAATAGAAAAACAGTTATTACTTTCTGATAAATCTTTCTATTCGATTTTAATTGATTTTCCATTTGAACATATCGATGTCAAAAGGATTATCAAAAATTTAAATGAATATAAATTGGTTATTAACTAACGGCTTAGATATTTCCATTGCAATAATAAATGGTGATTGAAAGAGTGATATCGCACAAAAGCTGCCGAAAACTGATACAATTGAAAACCAAGTGAAGTGAGATGTTGTGAACATCATTGCAACGCGGCCAAGTACAATCGACGAAACACTAACGTAGAAAATAATTTTCCTGCCAAACCTAGAAAATTGAAAAAGATTAATCGAAAGAAAGACATAGTTACTTTCGGTAGAAACGATTCATAGTGCATAAATCAACTTCGTCTTCCATCAATTTCACGACGATAAAATGTCGCAATGTTTCTTATCAGAAAAACATTTATCATATGCATGCCATTCATGCTCTCACTCTCAGACAGCCACCTCAAAGGTGTGACTCAATTTTAGACACCATTTGTGCGCATTTATGAGACGAAAATTTTTAAACTGGAAATCGCATCCATTCTTCATATGAATCGATAGCATCAACTGACGCCTGCATACGCTTATCGCAACAATTCGATGTACCTGAGGTTACAACATGCTATTTTTATGATTTTATTAAAAGCCCCAGTTCAATTGATTTGCGCAATAATATATACACACACAAAAGACCTGTTTGTGTGTCGTCAAATATTTGAAAACAAATTTCAAGCCGATTTTCCCGAGGTGTTCGGAATAACATGTTCTTATCGACGTCCCATTGTAAAATTATATTTGAGTGTGAATTCTCCTGAGAGGGTTCCAGGTTATTCTTGACAATAACGCGCGAACCGGTTTTCGATTTCCTTTTTGTTGAAATATTTATGTGTTTTCTTTTAGAAAAGGAAAACGCGACATATATATACAAACACAAATGAATGAAAAATGTCAATGTACTATACCTATCGCCAAGTTGACCGAAAAAAAATGTTCCGATTACTTCACCGATGCGATTCAGCGCAAATGTATTTGTTTGATACATATCTTTCGAACACACCCAATCCTCCTGAGACACGATTGTGCTTTGATACCATTGTTTATCGAATTCTCGAACATCACAATCTATGCAATCGAAAATGAAGAAAAAAAAGAAAATAGAAGAAAATGTGAAAAGGGAAAACACATATTCTTGTCCCAATGCATAAGTCAGGTCACAAACGAATCGTAGGCAGAAGTTGTCAATATATGGCCATTCGAGCATAAATTGGCACCACACACAAATTGGGGTTCGATATTTTTTTGCGACAAAACGAAATCGTTCGGAATGAATTCAATGTAACGTATTGCAATTTCACCGGAAAAAATTTGTGTAATCAGGTAAGAAATCTGTACTACGGATATTTATACATTTTTTTTAACAAATTTTCGTATACGATTCTTTCGCCTAACACTGATTAAGAACACAGAACATTTCTCTTATCTTTATAAAATGAGCAGCACACTATGTGTTGGTTTGTTTAATTAAAGTGCGTCACACATTGGCAGATCATCAAATTATTTACGGAAATTTTATCCGTCAATATTTCTGTGATAGCTTCATTCTTTCAGATAAGACGAAACCAAGAGTCTACGTCTACTTAACAAATTGTTTACTTGTTTCTACGGCATTCTGATTGAAAGCTTTTGATGTTATCCGCCAATTAAATCGGATCATTGTTATTTTTATCGGCGTTTCGCATAACAAATAAGCATGTACAACTGTTTGGCATGTGTGATTGACACGAAAATGGAATTTATTCAGTGATCAGTAGCTAAAACGTCGAATGAAAGATGATTGTTTCTATTGGAGTAATGAGAAATAAAGAGCAATGCCAATTGATAAGAAAGTGCCAAGGTTGAATTGTGTGCATTCGTGATTCGATGGAATTTCATAAAATCGACTTGATTCGAAGAATGAAAAAGGCGACGCAGTGCTACAAAACTCATTGCTTATAGCTATAATGTCTTTTGCTATAAATATCATGTTAAGCTTCAATGTTGGGGTGTCAGACAGAAAACAGCGTACGATTAAATAGGATAAATCCAAGCCAAAGCTTTGGCACTAAAATCACACAAAATACAAACAGAAATGAAACAGGCTAAACAAAATTTTCTTTTTTCTCTCTCGTCTATCCAATTTTTGCAAAAAGCAAAGCGAAAACCAATCTGTTTTATAAGGTATTTTTTTTCCAGCGAAGCACACTATTTCACTATATCGGAACGGTTCTCAATGGATTTTCCATGCTCCGTATTTCGTGATGGGCGGAATTAGACGCTTTGGTGTGAATTTAAATGTAATGCAATGCCTTGTCATTGTGGAATTGGCTCTACAAAATGTGTGTTGAATTTGATTTTCCTTTGTGTATGTGTGTGTCTCTCTCTCTTTCTCCGTGTTTGTATTTTGGCTGGATTGCCACAATGCGAATTTGAACACTAGAAAAGCAAACCTTGCAACTGCATGCAGCACTTCGCTGGTCGTTACAATGCATTGTGCAATAGCTTATAAAGCGAACGTGATTTCCTGGGATTCGTTTTGGTTTTTTTCTCTGTTATTTTTTATGTGCTGCTTTTTTCTGTCTCGCCCGATCGTTTGTTTAATTTTGTCACTTGCCAATATTTACCTAAAACATTGAGTTTTTCGTGATGCCTTGTTGAATTCCAATTCTCATAATCCCACGACTGAATAGTTGTCCAGTTTACGTCGTACATTTTACACTTGCTGAATGTACTTACGCCTTTGACATCGGTCTCCCTACAAATGAAACACAAAACAAAATGGAAAATGAATAAATGCCGTGTAAAATCCTTTTTTTCCTTTCTCTCTCTCTCTCGCTCTGTCTCATTTCATTTCTCATCTCGTATCAAGTGAATTCATTGGGGAATATTTAGTTAGTTGGAGTACTCCGATTTCGTGGTATTTGGACATTTATTGTGATTAGTACTAGGGGATATCCATGCGAATTAGAATTAGCACATTAGCAAAAAAATAGGGAAATTTACATGAAGAAAATAGCAAAATTAGCAATAAATAGCAGAATTAGCACTGTACACGTATATACTTTAGTAAGCATTTATTCTTGAATATATTGAAATAATTAATTAAAATAAAATTCACAAAACAAACGAATTGAATAGTGTTGAACTAAAATGTATCAAAATATGTAGTTAAATACGCTTTTTCTTATTTTTAAATAAAAATATATTCAATGGCACGTAACCAAGCACGTTTCATCTGTATTAACTACAATTTACGAATTGCAATCGGAAATGTAGATTTGATGACAGATTTCTTACTGAAAACGTATACGCTAGTGTCTGCTTCAAATATACACGTTGAAAGTGTCAACTTGAAACATTTACAGTAGATTGCCAAATGTCGACACACGACCAAATGTCGGAATACCGAGAGGTGAATTGAAATTAAAAATTGAAAATTCATTTGAATTGCATTTTTAAAAGTAAATTATGAAAGATCAATATCAAATCTCTTTATTATAATCCAAATTTTAATCAAAAATCTATTATTGCTTTCACAAATTACGTTCAAAAAAAATTCGGCATTTTTATCACTTTTTCACGTCAAAAGTTAAACTATGTCATTTTGAGACAAGCCGGTAAAATGCGTTTTTTTATATGAAAAAATAACTAGTTTGGAAAAAAAAATTATATCGGCGAATTGTAGATAGTTTAATTTAATTATTGAACAGAAATTTTGAAAATATAAAGAAAAACAATTATATTTATTTTTCATTTTTCACTGTAATATTATTCCGGAATAAATCGTCCAATTGCCGACACATAAAGCACCGAAGTTTCAAGTGAAACACTTTGGATTTGACAGATGTGACAGTTAAAGTCGTATTTGGATCATTGTGAAATTCAAACCAAAAATATTCTAGATCAGTGAAATAACGTAATATTTTTAAATATTTTTGCCACTTTACTATAGAAAAATAAGTAAAATAAAATATGGAGCAAAAATATATCAAACTAATAATTTTAACTCCAATATTTTGTATTGTTTACCTCAATGTAAATAGTGCGTTCATGGGCTGTCAAAACTTAAAGTTTACAAGTTTCGTAGTGAAAATGCATGAAATATGTCGAGATTAGGGAGCCGAGAATTGGACGACGAATATCCGACATTTGGAATTTTCGATGTTATGACGAAAAAATGGAAAAAAATAGTACATTTTTGGAAATTACTATCTTTTGAGAAACGTGAAATGAAGCACAATTAAATTCTGCATCGAATTGTGTATAAAGTGATATTTTTTCATGAAATCAAAAATGTTAAATATTAAATTGAAGTTGAAAATTCAAACAAATAGTCCGACATTTGGGCGAGTGTCCATATGTTGCACCCTCCATGATAAATTCATTTGAATTTTCTAGCCATAAAAAGATAAACACGAAAAGCAACTCATTAAATTACACAATATTTATTTCGAAAATGATAAAACGTACTGCTTTTTTTTTCTCTTCTGCTTTTGTTTTGCCACGACACAACAACATACAACCCAAATGACAAAATCCGATTTGAATAATGTTTGAGCTAGTTAGCGCACATTGTAAACGATGGAGCTCAAATTGGACTGAAAATGGAAAAATTTGTTGTTGTTAACTACATGCAACGAAAGCAAAACGAACGAAAACGAAGTGCGTTGCGTCGAGATTTATTTGTAAATTGCTGAAAATGCCGTGTCGAATTGCATGCACACGACTTTCACTTTGTTGTATCGCGTAACATTTAAATCTTGCAAGAAAAACGGCAAAACAAAAGAAGACAGCAGTCACAACATAAATAAGAAAAGCAATAACAACAAAAGAAACAACAACAACAACACCATACAAGAATAGAGACAAATAAATGAATATGTCTTTGTTAAATGTGCCCATAAAAAATGTTGCAAATCAAGCGCCGGTGTTGACTCAAACAACGACATAAAATCATTTTCCTGACTGAGGCTTACATTGAAGGAATATTCAATTACATCGTTGTCGTCAGACACAAAGAAAATTTGTTCGTTTGTTTAAATTACGATGTTTCATGAAAATCATTTTGGATACAATTTGGCGCTTTTCCAGCATTATTATCGTGTCTTACGTAATTTATAAATGTTTTTTTTTGTTTGTATCATCTTTCTGCTTTTTTGTTCTGTCTGATGTCTGTTAATATGATTTCATGTGATTCTGTCGCATCTCATGCAGCTTTGAAACAATTTTACTTGGAATTAGCTCATCCTTTCCATCAGCGCAAAACATTTCAAAATTACTTACCATTAGTAATGAGATGAGATTCAATGATTTCGTTGAATCAATGTAATGAAAGTTAACAATTAATGCGAAAGTTTCCATTTGGCGATAGATAGAGTGATAGCTATGTTATTGTTGCTACTCATAAGTGAAGTCTTAACAAAGGAAAAGATTTCGATACACAGTAGAAAAAAATCTAAACAGTTTCTTTTATAGGATTGAATATTTAATTCATTAATCATTGAGATAAATATATTCGTCGAGAATGGAAGCTTTATCCTTTAATTTTAGTTTTTTTTTATTATCAAAATATAAAGCAATTTTGGCATAATACCTTATTCAAATGTCGAAATAAGCAAAAGCTGGGTAGCAATTTGCAATATCAGATTGAATTTTGTTAAATTGTGTATTCAGATTCGGGCCCTGATTTAAAATGCTTTTTCTACTTAGAGAAGTCGAAATACCCATAAGAAATAGAAAAAGATAAAGATCATCTTCGGTGTCGTAAAAGGGAAAATAGTGAAGGGACTTTGGACAATATGCACAACATATTCGGTGAATTGCTGGTATTTCCAGAGCGGCTATTTTTTGAGCCGATGACCGTGTGACGTTGTAAAATACGATAATGTCTATTTATTCATACGTTTTTTTTCTATATGTTTATATATATATTTTGATGAAGTTGGCATTATATTTCTGAATCCAATATTAAATTGCTTTTTTTCCCTTCTCTTTCTAAACAGGGTGGTCGAGTTTGCTTTACATCGCATCCAAATGGGGATGATGTAAGCAGTGGAACTGGCATCATATCGTTGAGGTCAGCCGGTGACATATCACTACCACAAAGAGTACCAACTCGACGTGGTCTTATCGTACCACAACAGCCGCCTCATCCACCAACAATAATCCCACTCACCAGGTAAATAACAAAATAACACATATCCACCAAAAGAATGAAGAAAGAAAAAACCTGCTCGAAAATTACACATCAAACGAAACATTCTGGGAAAATGTGTCGGTTCGATTTGAATTCAGTAACGAGAAGACGAAAACCCCAATTTTTTCTTCGAAAAGAGAGAGAAAGCCGTAATGTGATGCTTTCATGGTTAAAAGTGCTAAAAAAAGCAATAATAAAGTGATGGTTTGAAAGCGGTGACGAAGCACGTGTTACAAGACTCCGAAAAAAGCGAATATTACAAATAAGGAATTATAAATGTTTTCTTTTTTCATCTACAAAACTCTTAACGGCTTAAAGTCTCTTCGCAAATGGAATCCTCTCACAATCTAGAAAGCTATAGAAGAAAAAAATGTGTATGGCAAAACTTTTGTTTATTACCGCATTTTTTATCACTTTATTATTTATTTGGCTATGCTCCTTTCGGAATATTACACGGCGAAAGTGGAATGAGAAAATTGAACCGCATTTACAATGAAATTGTATAAGCATCTATGTTAGAATTACTTAATATCATGCCAACACTTGAGATGGGAGTGACGATGTTTGTCAAAATATATGTACCAGTAAATCGCATTCAGTTTATGTGAAAAGTTTTCATATTTCCGCATGGAAAAACACATGGATAATTAGACAATTTTGTTTGGTTACGATGACGACAACTCATTCGCTGGCCCCAAGAGTCAAGAGCTGGCACTTGAGCGACGCAACAAATAAAACGCGCAAAAAGAATTTGATTGAAAGTTTCAATTCTCTTTTTAGGTGCAAAACAACCATAGTTTTATGTTTGTAATTAAAAATGCGAATGTTTTTAGTACCCAATCTCTCTTGCGCCCACTAAAACTTATGTGTCAGGTTGATAAATACAAACACGTGTTTTGCGACAGGGAAAATATGAATAAAATATATAGTGGATTTGTTATATGTATGTACGTTCGGTAACCATAAACAAATAATGATGATAAGTTTCCGTAAAAGCCCTTAAAATATTTCGACTTCATTAGAATCGTTCATACACATCATGTAAAACTAAATTAAATTTCATCTACGGCAGTGTCAGCAGTACATTCCGGTGTTGTTGCGTACTTTGTTTTTCTTTAGATGAGTTCTATTTTACGGGAAGTTAGTCAATGAGCCCAATTCATAATTATTGGATGTTTGCTCATCGTGAAGTTACATTGCACAAGTAACAGCGTATAAATAAGAGTTTCTTGGAAGGCGGTCAAAATATAACCGAGTTTTGTACAAAACTTTGGTAATTCATATGAACCAGCCGAAAAAAAGAAGAAGAAAGAAATTAGAGTTCAAATATCTTGTTCCAACAGTTGTTGAACACATTCACGTTCTTGTTAATGAATGCGAGCACGATGAAAAATGATAAGCAACAAACTACAGTGGCGCAATGATACAAAAACCAATTTTGGCTTCAAACAAAACATATTCTCGGCAAGAATGTTCATAAATTTCTGAAATGTGATACAAGTGGATCTGACTCGATAAACTTGTATGTGCACGCGGAAATTTCAGCAATTTGTTA